GTGTGTGTGTGTGTGTGTGTGTGTGTGTGTGTGTGTGTGTGTGTGCGTCTTACCCTGGGGATCTGCCTGAGCCCCTTCAGTATCAGCTTTGCGGACAGCTTCAGGATCAGCTTCTATTCGCAGATTGACAAAGTCAGACCGAAGCAAAAACGCAGTAAGAAAAAAGTGAAGGAATAAAGTGATCACGTCAGTTTGGATTTCTCAAGCATTTAGTAAGTTAAACACAACTACAGTGTGACAGTGAAAGCACCCAGGGGGTTGTAAATATGTCTAGGCTCTAATTGACTAATTCCCTTTAGTGAGGGAGCATCCTTCATATTCATAAATACCAAATATATGAAAAGGGGAATATATAATTTACTTTATTTGAACATTTGATAAATACTATAGTCAGAGTAAAATCCTTTTTCTGAATCTGACATTTGCCCTACATCACTTGAGCTGAATGGCCTACTGCTGATGTTGACTGTAAATTAAAACTCTGCTGAATTGGTAGTATTGGTATGCAGGATGTGTGTGAGTGGACAGCAATTGACGACACTCTAAGGGATCAAGCTGAGTCTGCTATGTCTCAGAGGAAGACTGCTGACCTCCAGAACTTGTGATATTCAGACCCAAAGTCACACACTAACATGCCTTGTCCTGAACTTGAAAAAATTAAAACAAACGTGTGACTGGATATGCTGGTAGCTTGAGTCTAAAGACATTTTTGTATAAGTGCTGTAATGTCAAACATATCAAGCCTTGTTTACAGCAGTTTGGCATCATATTATTTGTTAGTCAGTGTGATAATTACCTTGTCTGTTTTTGAAGCACAGTTTCTTCCGTTGGTATGTGTAATATCCAGTAGCAGCTCCCACTATGGCCACACCGATTGCACTCAGGATGCCTGCTATAGAGCCGGAGCTGGCCTCTGTAGGAGACAAACAAACAAACAAAGATAATGATGACAGTGCACACTAAACATACTAGTGTTTATGATACAAATGTGACTCCTGTGTTGACTATTTGCTAGTGTAGCAGCTTAAGAGATTGTTATATTCAGCCTTAAACCTGGCTGCCACTTTGCAGTTGAGAAATGGCACGCAGCAGTGAGGCTCAATGACACGAGACTTGAGCGATGCATCATCTTTTCACAGCATTTTCTGATTCCATTTCTCTTGCCTACCCAATAATTAAGACTCTTGAAAGCATTCACAGTTACAGAATAAATCTGTCTGCACTCTGCACCTGTAACCCAGTTACCATGCCAACACAGATCTGAATAGTTTTCATGCTGTGTCATCGCAAATACCTCTCATAGTCTGTGAAAGGCACACGGACAAATGCACCCCTGAGTAAAAGCCATTAATTCAACTCCAAAATAAGTACAAATAATGGCAAATTATAGTGCACGTATATGATGTGACATAAGATGCTCTAGTGTAAATAGCATAACAATCATATTTTAATCATATGCTTACTATTTTATAGTATATACTTTATACAGTTTATAGTAGGTATTTTAAATAACTAATGATTTAACTCACCAAACGTCAGTGATCTACACTGCGTTACAATACATGTTATGTTGCATTCATCAGGGTTTAATACATTGCCAGAAGAAAGCCATCAGAATTATGGTTATATTTTATGACTTATATGAATCTTCTGAATTGGCTGTAAATGATGAAGATAGAATTCAAGATTAGAGACTTTGTTGCATGAATTATATCTGTAGATATATTATTTACAATTTCAACCTAACAATAATACAAATCAAATCAGAAAAAATAGACAAGGTAATTCAAAAATCAGGATAGGCTGGAGTGGAAGAGAACAAAGGGATACATTATGTTGTAATGAGTCAGCAACTTAAACAGGTACGCATGACAACTAAAGGAGTGCATCCAAGTTATGATGAACAAAGTTAAAAAAGGAGAACAAATAGGGAGTGGCATGAGTCAGAGAACCTGCGTGACTCGAGATACATGAATCAGGAGGAAATTAAGTGGAATAAATTGGGAGAAGACAGTGAGTCACTACAAGTAAGTACATACACACATACAGTAGATAAACTGACAGACAGCGTGCCCTACGGAAACACGCGTCTATGGGAACTGTCTGTGGTCAGCAGCCACAACCCCTATCACATTACTGCGGGCTACAAGGCTGGGGCCAGAGGTCATATAAAAAGTTACATTTGAGCTGTGTTATCTTTCTTTTTGTACTTTCTCTTATATGGATACCTTTACAACTGTTATCATTGATTGTCTGCCATTTCTAAAGCAGAGCACTTTAAAAATGCATACATAAATAAAATAAATAAAGTTTAGTAACTGATCCATGGCTTTTAATACTTAAACAGATTCATTGATCATCAATACAATGTCAAAGAGGTGTTCTGACTATCATAAGACTCATTCATTCATACATTCACAATCTATATCATGGTTGAGTTTTAATACAAATACCATTTGGCATTTTATCTGCCAATTGAAGGTCCAATCACTCTAATAGCCTGCTTGTCATTCATTAAATATAAAAAGGCAGTTATTCAAGTTGAAAGAAAAGTTTGGAAAATGTCCTACAGCATTGGCAGCAACAACACACCTGCTTAGGGCCCTAAAGTTATGAAAACAGGGGACTGCTTGTTTAGGGTATGTTTAGGGCAGTGAATGGGTGGCTGGGTAACTGTATTCAAAAAAAAGAAAAGAAAAGAGGGATAGCTCACCTTGGGCTTCAGGTTTTCCCGCTGTAGAACAGAGAACATATACATACCGTTAGTAACATGAAACACCATGTACATACTGGTAAAACCCTATAGGAGTTACACATTGGCTGTGAACCTAGGTACTATTTATTTAAACATGCACAAACATGCACCTGTTTTCCTACTGTCTGATAAAAGGGAACCGCACTTACTTCCGAGCTTCAGAAGTAACACTTTGACAGGTGTGTGTAGCGTGACTTCACAATGCTTTTGCAGAGGAACGGTTTCAAACAGTTCAAACTATAATAATAGTGGAGAGGCATTTTCCGCTGAGACTAGTATCCTGTTTGTACTGTCAGTAGCAAGCCAGCAATATCCTGTGTGCTTCACCAGTTTCCAGAACTACTGGACTGATATTTTTTGATCATGAACACAAAAAGGTCTTACCGTCTCCTAAGGCGCCTGCAGCATGTGCTACAAGAGAAAGAAAGACAAGTGTTTAGAGAAGGATAGGGGAAAAAGGCAAAAATAATTTCATGTCTGAATGTGTTGATCATGCAGGTAAAGCACAGAAAGCGGAGAAGAAAAAGGGAGGATCAAGAGTATTTTCTTTGAGGTGGTTTATTCCTCAGAGTCATTAAAAGGCCTGGGGTTTTGTCCTAACCGGTCTCGAAAAGCACATATGAAATGTCCTTTCTGTACACTAATAGAGTTTCCTTTATGATATCAGAGGAAGACAAACACTCATAGAGTTTCCTTTATGATATCAGAGGGAGACAAACAAACACTCTTTGTGGCCCGCGCTGAACTTTGATCTGTGACATAATGCAAAACAAACTCCATTATCTCCTTCTTCGTTGCCTGCCTGCCTGCCTGTATAAGCCTGTGATGTCACTGCTGCCCTCTACCTGCTTCAACTTGACAAATCCGCTAATAACAGAGCACTAAAGGAAAGCGCCCTTTAACTGAATTATAATGATTATAACGACATAGATGAATCAGCTTTTAGATGGGGAAAAAGGAGGAAAAATCAGTTGCTGTTAAAACGCTTTATGGCTCGTGAGCAAACTTTTCTCTTGTCGTGGGAAACAGTCCAATCCAAGGGAATATGTTTAAGGGCACAGTTTATGAGGCACAAGTGGCCTAGTCCTACGGAACACTCTGTGGAGGTGTGACTTTGTAGATGTGATGGCTACAGGTGGTGCAGCGATTGGTGGCAACTTCACCATTTTATTTCATTTTTTATGGCATCTTTTCATTCATATACATACAAAAAAAACGTTTAATTACTCTTAGCATATCATTTTACTCGCAACCTGTCTTACCTTAATAATATTCTTGCCTTATGATTTTGATTTTATTTAGTTTTCACTTAAAATGTAAATGTTTAAAAAAATGTATTGACTTCATTGCAATCCTAAAATGTTTTACAACCTGTTTCCTCAATGTAAAGCATTTTCTAAATTAGTTTTGAAACGTGCTGTATCAATAAAAAAAACGTTAGCTCAATGTCTCAGGATATATGGATTTAATACACTGCTGTATTTAAAAAAAGGAAAACAAGACAATAACGCCCCAGAGAGCAATGACTGGTCTTACGAAGACATTTTGTTAAGCGGCTTTTTTTCAGCATAAACAAAGAAATCACATACAGTATATTATAAAATGTCCTATCCACTTCCTGTTCACATGTATTTGTAAACCAGAAGTTTAGGGTTACCAGCTCAAAGTATAAAACCCTTTATGTCAGTAGAAGTTTTGACCAGAGTGGAGATGGAGATAACTCACCTCCAGGTCCCATACTGCGGCTTTTTCCTGAGTTTTCCTCTGCAGCATTTCCTGTCAGAGCATCTTCCAGGTCAAGACTCTCTGAAAAAACATTAAGGCATCATTGGTGATGAAAATGCAATTTCAATCCCTGTAGGGAAATTCACTTTTCGCCACCGCGCCCAGAGAGATATCTTCCAGATGTTCACCAAAAGCATGTAATCTCTTTAACACACGATACTTCACTGTTGCATGTTAATCTTTCTTAATAAAAACATCAGCTATAATGGGAACCCTCCCCACTTCAGTCCCTCATGGCTCCTATAGTTAATACCCTGCAGAGCTGTCCTGGAAAGGAACTGTGAAACTCCACCTGCTCTCAGGGTGTGACTGTTATCCTGTGAACAAGTGTTGACTTAGATTTTAAGGATATTATCTGTTAGGAACAATACCTTAACCTGACTCTATATTTCTGGGGGAAACCCCAAGTGACGTATTAAACATGTGGGACTACAAAACCGTTTTAGGCTGGGCAGGGATCAGTTAATTATTTCAGATAGAACCTAAGGGGAATCATTTTCCAGTGACCTTCTTTTACCTTAAATAATTCTTGATATGAAAACATAATGAGTAAAATTGCCCTCTGATAGTCAAGCACCTTTTGTCACAGATATATTATAAGTAATGAAACCATTTGTTGAGCCAAGCTTTACTCTGATACTCTCATTCTCCTGCGTTTATTAACCTCACAACCTTCTCCCCTCTCTTTGCCCTTGCATACCCCTGCATCTCTTTTCTTACTTTACCTTTTACAACAACCCCTGTTCTTTTCTAATTTCTCTCCTTTCTTAATCCTTCTTTCCATCTATCAACTCTTTACCTCCTTTCACCACCGTGCAATAACGTTCGGTGCCAGTTATCATATGGAAGAAACCTTCCACAGCAGCCCCTTCCTGCACCCCCCTTTCTTAGTTGTTAGCATGACTCAGAGGGGAGATAACGACCAGCCAAACATAAAATGACTGTTCTTGATTGACAAATAGGAGTATGTCCTGCTATAAAGCAAACAATAAGCATACTTTGAGCAGGAAATGCTGAAATGAGCGCAGAGAAAATACCATTGTAGGTGCGACACTTCCAGCTTTCTTTACTCAAACCATACCACCCTTAATTAAATCTGGAGGTACAATTGTGGGGGCCAAAATCCCACCTCATAACCTTGTTTTTTTTTAAAACATCTGTTTTACATTACTATGTTCAGAAAATGGGGAGTTGCAGCAACATGATACACGATACAGCATCTCATGAAAGCAGGTCATGTGTATGTTTAAAGGACTGATAGCAGAAAACAACAACAATTTCATGGGTATTTCGAGGGTTCAGTCGTGACACAGTGGGAATCTTATACGTTTGGACACATTCAAGTAGGTTCAGAGTTATGGGAAATATTAAAACATGTTTAGTCAGTTAAGATTAAATACTGGGCTGAGATGAAAACATTCTCGCTTTAAACACAACTGCTAATCATTTTTTGTGATTTTCTAGCTTTCATATTCTAATGACATGTAATGCTTTAATGGGGATTTCAATACTACCAGCTGCCGCAAGTGTACATTTAAGTATTTAGTTCTGGGGATTTCATCTATTGCAGTAACTGAAAATAACTGGTTTTAATTATGTTCTTGTGAAATGCTCTTGTTTGATGGAAGAGCTGCTGAGTCATACTTAGCAATTACTTGTGGTGTGCCTGAGTTATTTGTTTAGTTGTGTTAGACTTAGCTCCAGAAAGGTTGAGGTTTATATAAGTATTATATAGGAGGTTCATATAAGATTCTTTGGAAAATGCAGAAATTAAAGAGGAGAGAAGAACAAGTAACAAAATATATGTGTCAACTTCAACTGTTGGTAGAAAACAAAAAACAGAATCAGTGTTTGATGCAAACATCTAGTTGTCTAGTTGGACACCTTTATCACAAGCTCTACAAATGTGTACTGTAACACTCATCTGTTTTTCATCTTAAATAAAAGCATCAAAGCTTGCTGAATAGTGTTTACAAAGAGGGTATATGTGAATATCTATTTTCTCCATATTAAACGGCTTATTATATACATTAAGGCATTACGCTGATAAAGGAGATCATGACTCATGGTACAGTATGTAACATGCTACAACTAGACAGATTGTACCGGAACAGGAAGTTGTACAAACAAGTTGGTACAGTTCCCCATGTAAAGGACACACATGCTAAAGTGGTGAGCTCATCTGATGAATTTAAGTGTCCATATCGTGTCTTTAATACATACCTCGAGATACCTACTCTGTCCCAAGTGACTTGAAGCAAATAGCTATCTCTAAGTTCTTACCTACAGTCTCAAGGCTGCATTCTGTACCAGAGTCATTAGAAACAGGCATGGACATTTTTGCTTTCTTGATTTACTGTATATTAGTTGCATGGGGATCTTATTACATTTTCTTCCATATGAGGTTATACACACAAGACAATCCACAGTATATTCTCACCTGGGTCCTCCACTTTTGGTTCCTCTGCGGCTGGTTTTGTTGCTTCAGCAGCAGGGTCTGTTTGCTTCTCCTCAGTATCTGCTGCTGCCCCAGGTCCACTCTATTACAATGTATCAAATATAAACACAAAGGATGCGCCAGGAACTTCTCAAATTATTGCAGCTTCTGAAAAATGTGTGTTATACACTGGCTGTCGGCAATTATACATAATCAGAATGTAGATGTTAGGTTTGAATAAGACTTTGTAACGGTGCTACTGACCTCCTCCTGGGTGGGTGCTTCGGTACTGCTTGGGGAAGCTTCCACTTCTTTAGCTGTTGGTTCCTCAGCCTTTGGAGCCTCAACCTCTGGATCAGCTGCAGGTGCTGGAGCTGAGAGAGAAACAGATGGGGGGGAAGTTTAGATCACTCATTTATTTTTATTATCCATATTTTATGACATGGGATCAAATGGAATGGCTGGTTTTGTGGCACTTTTTATTGCATGTTGCTAGGCAGGTTCAAAAAAGCATTTTGCCTAATCTGCACATTGACAAGGTGTATAGTAGCAACAGTTAATAGAAAGACATCTCAAAATTGAAATGAACCTGTTTCTTTATCAATCAATTACATTGACTACATTTTTTTTTTAATGGTACACTTGCTGTTGCTTCTCAGTATGATTATTATTAGCCAAGCTGATGTTGGAGATCAGCATCGAATTGAAGGAGAAAAACAAGACAGAGTTGCAACAACTAAAAACACCAATAATAAAAACTGTTATTTGGGAGAAAAGAACAGTGTGCAAATTCTTGGTTATGGTTTATCAAATATCAAGCAGCATTCCGAGAAGGAAAAACAGGTCTGCATGTATTTGCAACGTTCGGTGTGTGTGGGTGTTTCTGAATTACCATCTTCACCACTTCCTCGGAAAATCTCTCTCTTTATCAAAGGTGCACTGAAGCACAAAATTCTACTTTAGATGCCAGCAGATGTCTCGCCAGTGGGCTTTTGATAAAACATAAAACATCAAGTGTTGATTTTATTCTTGATTTAAGTTAACATTTTATTGTTAACTTTTTATTTGGGAGCAGGACACAGTGAGTAGAATTGTTGGTAGGGTTATTATAAAAGTAAAGAAAAATGAGGATATTATATGCTTTTGCGTCAGATTAATCATCGGAAAAAAACCTTTCTGTATTTCCTTTTTTAAGAGTGCATATTTGAACACCAGTGGATCACCTGGTGTTGCTGCAGCGGCTTCTGTCTCTGTGTCGGCTGGAGCAGCGGACGCTGGTTCTGCTTCACCAGCCTCAAGGACCACAGTATCATCGGCTCCGGCTTCAGGTTCAGCAGAAGGCTCGGCTTCTGTTTCCTATATTAAACATGAGTTATACATATTTTAAAAAAAAAAATACATTTACATAAAAGAAAAACAAATATTTAAACATAAAAGCCCCTCAGGTGATTTGGTTTTTAAGATTAGTGCATATTTGTTAGTGCTTCACCATATCAGTTTTTTTAACCAACAGCACAACTGATATGCAAACTGGAGCTTTGCTTAAACACAAAACACAGTCTGAAAAGGGCAGAAACAGAGCTGCCATTGACGTTATGTTTCATAACACTTTCAATGTCCACCTTGAATGTACATGAACAACATTCAGCCACTTGATACTGTATGACTCAGCTTCTCAAATATCTGCCTGAAGAAGATTAAGAACTGTATATTCTCTAGACCTCAATGTACTAAATGCAGGCTGCAAAGAGGCACTGTTATCCAGAAACACGGCACAGCTCAGATCACTTTTTTGTAAATTTGTATATATTTAGTCGGTAATGCTGTTTTCAGAACACCCAAACATTTTCCTGTGTGCTATTTACCAGACAAGATAAGAGTTTGGAGTGATGAAGAAAGTAACATTATAAAAAATAACCTTTGTGAACATACTCCCTTTTATATATGTCACCCATACATCATCTGGACCTGCAATTATGTCACTTTTATATGTTTCTGCTTTAAGAGCAAGTGTTATTTAATTTTTGACCATATTGGGTTCTTTGGAGGTTGTTGATCACCGGGAGAACTCTAGCGAGATAAACACAGATTGATCATCCAAAGAAAACAAATCAACAGAAACAAAAATGTTCTTTACGTCGGCTGCTTTGTCAGTTTCCTCCGCGGCTGCTTCAGGAGCTGCGGCTGCTTCTGGGTCTGCTTCAGGGGCTGCGGCTGCTTCTGGGTCTGCTTCAGGGGCTGCGGCTGCTTCTGGGTCTGCTTCAGGGGCTGCGGCTGCTTCTGGTTCTGCTTCAGGAGCTGATTCAGGAGCTGATTCAGGAGCTGGTTCTGGAGCTGCTTCAGGAACTGCTTCTGCATCAGGAGCCGCTTCTGGGGCTGCTTCAGGTTCAGGAGCTGCAGCATCATCTACACAAAATGTAAAAGAATAATTAAGAAGGAAACACATATCCAGTCAAAGGCTGACTACTAGTACATATCAATTTAAAAAAGGGCAGAAAAACAAAACAAAAGGGCTGTCCTGAAACCCTGGTGCTTCAATAATCATACATCACACGACTGACAGAAGCCTGAGGAACTATCATTTTCTTTCTCTCAAGAAGAAAAGAGGCAGACATGGCAGGCTAAAATATGACAATATATCTCAATGACTCATACGGAGTTTCTTCTGCCTTTGAAGGCTTGCAACCTGGCACTACAACCCCTATAATTGACTGAATCGACCAATATGTTGTGCCCTTGCCTATTCACAAACAAATAAGCCACACTTTTACAAGTCTGACCTAAAATAGAACCAATAGAACAAAAGACTGGCAGTGATTTTTGATGATGGTAATTGAAAAACGGCATGCCTTAATCCATCTGTTACCATTTAAAACAATTACAATTATCTGTCGAAATGGTCGTTAAGATGTTGTGGATTCAGCACGCACGCACGCACGCACGCACACACGCACACACGCACACACACACACACACACACACACACACACACACACACACACACACACACACACACACACACACACACACACACACACACACACACACACACACACACCCCACTCTGATTGGTTCCTGATGTGAACTCTCCAGCCACAAATGGATGACAGACGCATCGATCACGTCTCACCTGCCTCAACATCATATGAAGACTCAACCTCTGCACTGAAATTGCAGCTCTGTACTAATGAGAAAATACAAAGCACATGTCTTTGTCATTCTGTGTGTGAGATGAGCATGGCGTTTGTGTGTGTTTGAGGCAGTGCTGTGAGATTCCCCTGTTGGATGTGAGAAGCTGAAACAGCGAAACTGTGCTCAAAGTTGAGCTGATTTCAGCAACACCCTGATGCTGGTTCTTCGGGATAGTACCAACCTTTAACAGGTATATACCATCTAGAAATAATGGTATGGGTGATGTTTTGCTTTCTGCTGGAAAAAGTAGTTTGAAATAGTGGAAAGATATATACAGCAATTTGGACCAAAAGCAAACTAAAACACCTAGAAATTGAAACATAAAGACATAAAGAGAAATCAGAATCTTCAGGGGTTTTCTGCTGTGTATCACAACTATCTTCCATAAGATGTTCACTTCACATCATTCATAATCACTTTTGAAGACAGTTGCTTATTGTCAAGTGAATTTCCAATGTAGGATCGCTGCCTTTGCCAAGTGAGATTCTATCAAAGTCAGAGACGCCCTGAGGGAGGGCGGCAAGAACACATCTGAAGTATTCCCATCGCACCGTTAAACCTCTGGAGGCAGGCCGTGCAATGTTGGGGACACCCTTGCTTCTTCCAAACACACACCCAAATCCATACAGACACTAGCATGGCTAAACACACACCATATGCACTTGAATATTAAGGGGTGGACTTGCATGATCACTAATAAAAACAAGCTCTATTTGAGCTTTGTATCAGTGGTAATCAATACTTAGTGCCATTGATGGTTTATTAAGAACCTGACAGTATCACAAACTAGGGCTGCTCGATTATGGCAAAAATCATAATCTCGATTATTTGGGTCAATAATTGAAATCATGATTATTAAAAACGATTATCCATTTACTTTGAAAACATCCATTTATTGAATACAAAATTTGAACAGTATGTTTTTAACAGTTGATTACCCTGAGTTTGAAGTATAATTCAACTGAAAAACAAATACAAAATAAATAAATAATCGTTTTTTTCCGATTATCATGTTTTTATAATCGTTGCAAGCCAAAATCGTAATTGCAATTAAAATACGATTAATTGAGCAGCCCTATCACAAACTGAAGAAACAGGACTGAATGTGTGAGTAAATGTGTTTGTGGTGGATTTCAGGTTTTTATCTTCATGACTTTCTTTGATATCTCAATCAAACAGGTGTTATCAAAGATGTACCGTAGCAAAACATTCAGCTTGTTGAACTAGTTTAGACGCCAGATGTCGCGCCTTTTTTTTATAAATATGCAGGTTAACTTTCTGCTGATATTGAATTGTTATTTCCTCATACCGGGATCACTGTTGTGTGTTTAATGATTGTGAGTATATATGTTTTCACCTACAGTAAATGTGAAAATGAGTGGGCACATTTTTCCATGGCATTGTGCAGACATGCATGTGTGTGTGAGGTATGTGGCTCTCATGTAACGTGGGTGTGTGTATGTGTATGTGTGTATGTGTATGTGTATGTGTGTGTGTGTGTGTGTGTGTGTGTGTGTGTGGGAAACTGCCCCCCATACAAACTCTTTCTCTTGCCACTCCATAGAACATTCTGTTCCCATCTATCAGTTTGCCACTTCCTCCTCTAACTACCTCCGCTTCAAACACACCCCCTTACATCCCCTCACCCAACAACAGGCATGCGCACACGCACATGTGTGTTCGTGTGTGTAGAAACCCATAAAAACCCCTTCTCATCCACCTTGGAGTCCAAACATACAAACAACCATATGTTCACACACAAAAGTCAAGTTAACATTCACCCTCACCCTTGAGTAAGCGCTGTCCTGTTTTGCGTTAGTGCAGCAGTGAAACAAATTGTTGCACATCCAAACCCTCTCAACCTTCCTTTTTATTTTTGCTTTAAAGACTGCCTCCCCCCTTTCCTCTCTCTTTCCCTCTCCCAAACTCTTAACTCCCTTTGTTTCTTTGCCACTGCTTTCCCCAGGGGCTGATGAGTCATCTGTGTGTCTCTGACATGGCTGCACGCAATTGTATGAGACTGAACAGCATGTGTAGAGTTAAACTCTAAGAAAAGGTCCCCAAAGACGGACTCTTAAGACAAACCAGTTTATGCATGTGGGAAAACAGGATACTGTCGGTTACATACTGTTCTTTAGGGAAACTGGCCTACAAGTTGTTGATAGATTGATAAATACCCTCCATGGCCACTTTATCAGGTATACCTATACCTGTCAGGGCTGGGCGGTAAGGAGCTAGAACATTCTGGTAAGTTATTCAAATGACAACACTTTAAAAACAGGAAAGACACTTATGCCATGTTACGATTTTACCATATATACAATCTTAAAATAAATATTAAACTTTAACTTCTCCGACATTGTCAATCAGAACTGAACATTATCATTAACACTGAAAACAGGAGGATACAAGTAGCTTAGTACATTAACATTTTACAGAACGTTTCAGGGTGCCTGACTATGTCTTGGCCGGGCACAACTCACTGTCGTTACTGTGAGTTACTGGTCCCAGCCTATACAGTCTATGGTCCTAGCCAGGAAATAGTCCAGCACATTAACCCCCTTAAAACTCCAAATTGCCTGTTTTTCGTGTGCAAAATAAACAAATGAGATATAACTCACAAGCTTAAGAGGTGCCTGTAAGTGTATTATATAACCTTTGGACTGAGTCAGGCTTGCTGTTTCCATCCGTCTCCAGTCTTTGTACTAAGCAACGTTTTAAAAGCTAAGCATTACACTACCTCCTGTATCGGATATGCTGCACATCAAGAGTCAAGCTTAATCTGTAACTGTCTTTTTTGCTGAAACAACCCTTATAATGCAGATAACTTTCCATTTTGTTGTTCTTTATGATCCAGCAAGCAGGACTTTGACATCACTTGGGGTTACTTAGTCTGGGAACCAACGTGTGTCAAAGCAGTTCCTGCAGACAAGTTAAAACAGGGTTTAAGGGATATATGTCCCTGAAAAAAACAAATATACTAACTTTTAGCACGTAACATCATTACGAGCTACTATGACAACAGCCAATATAGCTTGGAGACGACACTTAAATTGTTAGCCTATATAATGATTCACAGGCATCATGGAAGCTTTAGTGCTGTAATAATGATTGATGCCAAAGGGTGAAATATAATAAAACTGTTTAACTTGGCACTTGGTAGCATTTCTGAGTACGCCTGATAATTAAAAAGTAAAAAACAAATGTCATGTCACCTTTTGTTTTGCAAACTACTAAACAAAGACATTCATCTTTTTCAAATTCAAAGCCCTTTGATTTGTATGACTCACATTCTGAGGCCAGTTATGAATGACAAAGGAAGAGCACCTTATGACACTTTCGGTTTCCTGCCGTGAGATTGTGTGAGATCGCCTGAGTGTGGTTGAACGGTACTATATCGTGTACAGACACCAATAACCAATGCTTGTCTCGTAATAGTACACCAGAAACTGTGTGTGCATGTGTGTCAGGTGATACAACAGCACCTTCACAGTGCATTGTTCTGTCAGATATGGCTCTATTGTGTGTTTGTAGGACAAAAAGTTCCGTGTTTACCCCAATCATACACACCTTAAAACAGCCCCCATGGGAGCAGAGAGAGTGAGAGTGTGTCTGTGCATGTGTGAGTAGATTTCACTTATCCACCATAAGAGAGATTTATGTGATGGTAGTTGATGGTGTAAACAAGGACAAGTCTGCACACAGTACACACATGGCACAATTCTTTCATCTGCCTCTAAAAGACACACACACACATGCTCTATAACTGACTCATACAGAAACTCACATTAATGATCACTCCCATACTCCCACATGTTCTGTATATTTAAGTAATTCCCCACTCCCACCCCCACACACACACACTCTCTCTCTCACACACAAACACACACACAGATGCTGAGGGCCCTGGGGGAGTGTAAGGCGCTGAAACTAGTTGAGTTGTTGGGTGTTGTCTACAGCTGGAGCTGGATCTAGTTACGAGAAACTCCCTACACTTCACTTCTATAGCTTACACACATTGTGCGTGATGTGTGCGCTGACCCAAGGACCCATCTTTTTTTTCCCGTGTAACTATGAACTCCTTACATGCAAGCAAGCAAATACACCCGTGGAGATTTTCTGTGTCAAAGTACAGCAGCACATTAGGTTTTACAGTGAGGTTACGGTTCGGCAAGTTGAGAACAAGTGTGTGTGTGCGTGTGCGTGTGCGAGGGGTTCGTCTTTTGTGGTTTGCCACTCATAAAAAATGAACCGGTAGAGTGAGAATACATCAGGTCTCATTGTAGTTCACCAACTGAAATGTTGTTTGCATAATGATAATGAATCTCACTGTATCAATGAATAGCTCTCTCACTCTATCCTTGATTGTATATCTGCTGTTTTCCCCTCTTAATCTGCTCCAACATTTTAGTTTTTATCTTCTTCCAACATCTTCCTATCTCTCCAAGTGTCTCTGCTTTTCTCAATGCTTCCTTTATCTCCATCTGAGTTTTATTGCTCTTGAGAAATCTGAAATCATTGCATGCGCCGCGGGGAAGGGCAGGGGCCCATGAGCCAGATGAGGAAGAAGAAAGAGGAAGAACAGATCATAGTATGGAAAAAGAAGATATGAAGAAAAAATGAGACTCACAAAGCATCAGTGATTCAATGAAGGGGACTAAAAAGAGCTGGAAAAATGGATGAAACAATTAAAAGAGGGGGGAATTCCATATGTAAGGACAATGGGCCCGCCACACCCCTTTGGGCCAAACTCATGTCCAGAAAGATAAGGCCAAATTAAATGACACCTATTTCACTGTTAATGCCTGGCCTGCAGAGCCGTGAAAGACGGAGAACAGAAGAAGAAGGCAGAGCTGCCTCCATTCATTCAGCCAGAACAGATTGAAACAAGCAGATTATAGCTAAAGGTGAATTGAATTGGCATACAGACGGGGAGGCACAGACTGGCAAAATACACTGGCGATTGCCCTCAGACAAACACATACACATTCTGATGGAGATGATCAACCCACTGAAAGATCGATAGATAGATAGATAGATAGATAGATAGGTAGATAGATAGATAGATAGATAGGTAGATAGATAGATAGATAGATATGTGCGTGTGTGTGTGTGAGAATAAGAGCATGTAGCTTAAGGCTGGGCTGAATTAATTGGAAATGTAATCATTACCTTGTGCCTTGGCGCTTGTAGCCAGCAGGCTTCCTAATAGCAGAATCCACAGGTATGACATCATGAGAACACGGTGTTCTGGCTGCGATTGAAACGGGGTTGAGATTCTCTTTCCTCTGCCTTCAAATAGGACAATGTACCGGCTCAGAGGTTTCAGGTAGATCTGGAGGGCGTGCGTGTCGGCGTGCCGGTGCGTTCTTGCGCGTCGGATCAAACCCGTTGCGTTTCTAAGGTGCTCAATTGCTCTGCTCAGTGCGTGCCTCCGCGGATCTGTCGTCCTATCCTTTTGTCTCGATTGGAAGGGAAAGGTCCAGTCTTTATTAAGGTGGGCGGGTCTCTTCTCCCAAATACGTACAGGCAGGGAGGCATGAGGGCTGTGTACGGGATGTGATGGCATCACACACATGTTTTTGCCGTTGCCATCCTGTTGCTAGAATGACTGTTGCCAACAATATTTGTATCTTCTTTATCGATACCGCCTGGTTAAACACAACATTCAATTGGCACAATCTCAGAATCAAGCATTCTTTCAATCAAGCCATCCATCGTCTATTCAGATAAGCTACTAAGCCACAGTGGCTGTTCCTCGGTGAAATTAAGCATTTTTTTCGTGGCTTCAAAATGGAATACAATGATTATTGTAGTTAATTACTTTCTTACAACATCACAGCTTACTCGGATTTATTAATATATCAGGTTTCTCAAAAGTACACGGATTTACTGGATTTGGTAGGCTGTGGAATGTAGAATTAATGTTAGGTTTCTATTGGAGTAAAAACCCCATGACCTCATACAAACCAGACAGAATGTGGATCTGAAAAAATAATGTTCTTTTCCTTGGGCTCCTTTCCTTTTCATTACCACTTTGTTAACTGAGCCACATTAAACTGCTTTCACCAGAATATATCGGCAGGGGGCGCCATTCATTATGTATATTACAGTTCACGCCTTCATTAAAGCATGTGAGGCGTTCAAATCCCGATAAACATAACAAAAACATCACGACTTTGACGAGGGGTGTTCACATATTCGTGATGTACATTATCTTTGAATCACTGCCATCTTTTTTATTGTATCATAAATGGTAGGGGAGGCATCTACCACGTAATATTATACCAGGTTAAACACATTGAACTAAGTTTAATTAAATAAAAACCTTTTTTTTGTTACACTTTAATGTCTTAAAATTAGAAAGCAAATCAAAGGTCTCATATCAAATGAGTAACTTATTTCAACACCTCAAAGTTACATTTATTTCCTACTACCTAACTTGAACCTTATTCATAGGAATTATGCATGTAGTTGATGCATTGCTTTGCTTGATATTCTCACTGTTTTAGTAAACTAAAAAAACTATTCCTGTGTGATTTGATATATCTTGCATGTTGGTAGACAGGTATCAACACACCACCATCACATGAGTGTAAACACACAGTTACGCCCATCTAAATCATACACCGTTACCACAGGTGTTATGGAAAAAAAAGGCAAGCCTTGCATAGGGGTGAGGCTGTGTTACTTCGAAACAGATTAATTACAACAGTTTGCCCTTTAGAACACACTCATTTAGCAACAGTTTCTTTTCTTGCAATCCACAAAGACAAACAAAACGCCCCATGGGAAGTCATCAAGCAACCTGGCTATGACTATGTAGTCTGTAGTTTGAAACCAGCAACAGCACATTTTGTCCCACTCAGCTCATTTTCACATGTAATACAAATGGAATGAAAATTATTTTTTAAAAAGAAATGTGTTTATTAGTGTCTTAGCACAATGATTACATAAACATTAAAACAATCTCTTATTGAACAAGTTGATACAAAAAGCCTTGATTTGGGAAATTAGAGTATTTCTGATGATTTGTTAAGAAAGAGCAGGGATAGCAAAGAGAACAAATCTCTGCACAACTTTTGCATGACCCTTTTGCACTTATCTGTCCTTAGATAGATATTGAAAGTAGCACATGTATTGTTTATAGCATATGTATTTAGCGAGAATTTGAGTTACTGACGTATTTGTAGTTAAAGGTTTCCAATATTTGGTCAGTATTTTTCCGAACCATTGACCTGAGGCATGCGCATCAAAACCCATGTCTAGTATTCAGTGCAGTACCTTAACATCAGAAAAAGGGGCGAGGCCCATTTTGTTTCTCCCCTGTTGTACAAAACCCATGTTCATTTTAAGGCAATAAAGCTTGACAGCAAAGAAAAAGGCACAATTATTCAATTTTCAGCACCGGTTGCGTTTCACAACACTATTGTTTGCAGATTGGTTAGTTCTTGGCAGTGCCATGTCTCAGTCCTCAAAGAAAGCATCCAGAGTAACTAAAGCCTAAGTGAGGCCTTCATGACTGTATGTTATTATTGGTTATTTGCGTTTGGCACATGAAACAAAAACAATATAACAAAAACTGCCCAAAGCTTGTATACACTTCTCCTGTGCTCCCCACCCGTGATCTGTAATATACAGACTAGCTCTTGGTCATAAGCACTTTGGTGGGCTATCGTTCAAAAACAGCATAAAGGCTGAAATGGAAATGAAAAAGAAAAAGGAAGTTAATGAGTAGTAACTTCCTTTAGTGTGGTTATTGTCCCCTTTTGTCACAATTTTGACTTCCTGTTTCTGATTTATCTGCCACTGAGATTATTATGAACTTCAAAGGATTACACCTTCTTTCGAGGCTGAGAAGAAGTCGTGGTAGAAGTATTTTGAAAAACATTATTCCTGGCAACAACTCTAACATTGATACCTGAATGTCTGTCCTTGTATCTCAATGCAAAACTCTGCTGCATTAAGGAAGGCCCAGGGACATAGGTTATAGATGCTCTTGCTGAAAGAACATTTAAATGCCATTCTAATTAACATAAATAGGATATCCTTTAGATTTTTTATTCAAACAAGCTTGGTGCTGTATTTTTCACTCTTTACCTCCTTTTAAAACATCGTCATAAGAGAGCATGATCTCAAACTGACTGAAATATACTCCTTCTTGTGAATACATTTTCCATGTTTCAAGGATAAGAGATAATTGTAACAACCCAAATTCATTGCACAGCCATTCCCAATGTGCAATCATCATGCATTATTATTAGTGCAGGAGTTTCCTCTTGTTCGTGATGTGAGTTTTTCAAAAAAGAGGAAAAAAGTATTGAAAACTTGGATCATGTGGAGTCTGAAAACCACATCAGCAGAATGCCAGGAGAATGAGGCTGTTAGGACAGCTGGGACTGACATGGAAACTGTCTCTAAATAAATGTGTGTGTGCATGTGTGTGAGACGGAAAGAGAGTGAAAAACAGAAACAGAATCATTCAGCATAGCTAACAAAGTGAGGGCAGTATTAAGGCTCCTGTGTTCCATCTCCATTTGAAGGCAGTTTAAGGATTGGTTGCTGGTCCCACTCTGGAAATTGTGATTGACTATTGTTTTGTTTCAAGAGAGTGAATGGCTGGAAAGCGGCTCACATTTTGTTGAAACAGTCCTTGGCGTTGGACCACACCTGGATTCCCTGAGAAAGTGGTGCATTGAGAGAGAACAGATTAGAGAAAGAAAGCAAAAACACGACAGGTTTTTTAATTAGAAAAACAGATTGGGAGCTTTACTGCTGAGAAATCAACATCACAAGATGCCTGGCATTTTTAAGTAGGCAATTATACAAGAAAAAAGACATTATAGAAAAGAATCCCATACCTTTTTACACGTGCTGATCTGCATAATGGCATAGCTGATTAGTGCTTCACGCAGATCTTTGTCCTTCTGCTCCTTAAAACGTTCAATGTCTTCCCAGGCCATTTGAACAAACTCTCTGAAGAAACAAACACAAAGGAACCACTGTGAAAGAGCTGGTGGAAGGGAGAATAGAAGGCATGGCATTAGGGGGAAAAACAATGTGTTTGTCTTTTTATTCTCAAAATTACTAATGTGTTATTACTCATACACAATTATTCCTGGTTTCTTGACCCTGGTCTTCCTGAGAACAAATTCAGACTATAAGGGAGTAGCTCTAACCACCGATGGGTGGTCCGAAAATGTATACGTTTGTTTTATTTTTATTGATAATATTTTCTCTTCTTAGGAACTCTTCCAATGTATAGTTTTCTGTCTGATGCATGAAAAAGTTATTATAGAAATAAGGGCAAATCACGTAACTAAAAACCAGAAGATATACTGTGTCTTCAGAGGGAGGGAAATAGTGAGAGGAGCAGAATAAGAGTGGGTGAATACATATCATTTAGAAAAGGTGGAAGATTGGTACATTAGCGTGGAGCTTACTTGCACTCTGTGTTCTTCTCCTTGAGCGCTTCCTCCCCCTCCTGGATGCTCTGCTCCAGAGCAGCCAGCCTGCTCTCCCTCTGCTCCTGGCTCTCTGTGCCAAACAGTTTACTGGTCATGCCCTTCAGGGAAAACACACGTACTGTCTGCCCAAACACAGAAACACACACATATTAGGCTGAACCGCTAGAAGCACTCATTCCTGCCTATGTCCATTAAGCTTCTTAACACTCACATGTAATGAAATGTACTTTTTAAATGTTGGCCATGAGGGCTGTGCAATAGGGCACCATTGTCAGTATGTGCGTCTGTATATTGTGAGTCCAGACCAAATGTCCTTACGGGGACTATATCGTATCGTATAGTATTAATTGATTTACTGATGTCTTCATCAAGTCAGACCACAAAAGTGTTTTAAACGCTTGCCTAATTCTGTTCAAAATCGTTTGTGTGCAATCATCCGGAAATTTGACAACTGACTTGACATGGCCATTGTGTGTGTACCACATGTGTATGTGCCCAGAATGTGTAAGAGAAAGTGAGAGATAATAAGCGGGTGTGTAAGTGCTTTACCCCGGTAGCCAGCTCTTCTCTCTGCTGTTTCTTAGAGACGAGTTCCTGAGCTGCCATCTCCAACTCATACTGGATCAGCTCATGTTTCTTACATACTGACCTTCACAAACACGCAGAGGAATGGAAACATTCAAAAAACATCCATATGTGTAGTCCTATTACATTATGCTGCTAATATGACAACAAACAGTCAATAGGTATGAATTTTCCATCGGCGTCACTAAAAAAGTTAGACATAGCCGATTGTTACATCTGCCTCTTAATAAACAGCATGTGACACTGAACTCCATCCAATCACTGACATCAGTGCTCGTTCAGAACAAGTCTGCATTATGTGCTCTGCTGAAAGATGGTTTGCATCTGCTATTGACAATTTGCATGTGTGCTGCAGCGTATTGCTTTGTTTTGAATAAATATCAAGTCAAATGGCGACATGTGGCAGAAGCAGACAAGAGTATACTTTCTTTTTTTACTTGAAAACATTACATAGAAAAAGATCAACAAAACATAAAACCATACGCCAAATGTTTAGTGGAAAAGTCAGGGTTTTATCTCTACAATACCTCAAATTACCCTGAACTAGTTCTTCCATCAAAATGTATTAATATTCATGTTGTTGATTCAATCAATCAATTGTTTGATCTTATAAACTATGGAAAAGGTCTACAGTCACAACTGGACATTTGGTATTTATTCTTGAATATTAGTTAGAAACTGAATCAATGGACGAAATAGTTGGTGAGAGTGAGCTACTTAACAAACATTGGTACCACTTTACAATAAGACTGCCCTTATAAAGGGTTTACGAATAGTTTGTAATTCATTTATTAATTAGGTTGTGAACACTTTATAAATCATGAATAAGCTTTTACAAGACATGAGATAAACAGGGCAACTGTGGCCGGTTGCTTGCCAAATAGTGAGCCCACATGTATCTGTACTGCTAAGCCTATTGGCTACTTAGCTGACTTCGTCTTCTTCATCAGCCAGCATCCTTGGTATCTGTTGTTCACTGAGTCGATTCTCGCTAAGTAGCCATTATAAGGCTAAGTCATCTTGCCAAATAGTGAGCCTGTGTTGATGTATGAAAACTATGTTAGAACTGGTTTATAAATGGTTCTTAATGATTAATAAAGTGTTTACAACCTAATTCATAACCTAATTATAAACCCTTTATGAATGTTTTATAAGGGTAGTCTTATTGTAAAGTGGTACCCAAATGGTGATATTTGTTCAAACCAAATGCTAATAAAGAGCGCTGGCAGACTATTTGATAGACAGTTGATTTGGATAAGAGCATCGCCTAATTTCACTCATATTGCATGACTGCCTATTCTATTGGCCAGTTATACAGTGGAGGAAACAAGTATTTGATCCCTTGCAGATTTTGTAAGTTTGCCCACTTACAAAGAAATGAACAGTCTATAATTGTAATGGTAGTTTTATTTTAACAGTAAGAATATATATAAGAGATATATCAATTAATTTGCATTTAACTGTGGGAAATAAGTATTTGATCCCCTTCCAACCAACAAGAATTCTGACTCCCACAGACCGGTTAGACAAGTCCATTTTCTTTAGGAAAGTACTCCTAATGTGAACTTGTTACCTGTATAAAAGACAACTGTCCACATAATCAATACATCAGATTCCAACCTCTCCACCATGGGCAAAACTAATGAGCTATCTAAGGACCTCAGGAACGTGTGTCTGAGGTCCGCACCCTCTGATAAGGCTGGGATTTGGCTACAAGACCATCAGAAAGCAGCTTGGAGAGAAGAATTTTTACAACCGCCTCCGAGGGATTATTGTTTATTATTATACAAATTATTGAACTCAACCTCTGCTTAAAAAAAAATAAAATCACAGCCAATTCATTTGGCCTTTCTTTCATGCTGTGCAAAGAAAAAGCAACCTCTTAATCCAGATATCTTACCATGACTCGGCGCATGCATGCATGCATGCATGCATGCGGTGTGGCATGACCACCGAAACAGAAAGATATGGACACAAGATGTGTGCAAATGTATTTTGTATCCATGTGGACAAGATTTAAGTGGGGGGGACCTAACCTCCTATAGGGGGGACCGGGGGCATGCTCCCCCGGGAAGATTTTTTTTTTTAAATATTGGAGTTAAAAGCATCAATCTGGTGCACTTTGAGAGCAACATGAGGAGATCTATGGATACATCTCTCAACACCATTTGAAA